CTCCCATCTCTGTTATGGAGATCTCTGCAGGGCTCTGCCCACTTTTATCACCAGCAGAATAGGTCACTGTCGCACACTCTACATAGGAACTATATTTAGGCAGGTCATAATTGCCCATTTTAAATGTGTAACACCACAGTCTCCTCTGATACCTTCCTCTACCTGTGGGTAAATCCAGCCCTGGATTTTTCAAAACAACAAATTTTGGTTCCTTGAAGGACAACTTCTGAGAAAAGGGGCAATGTGCAACCAAAGCAGAGAGATGGAAACCAACAAGCTTGGTGTTAAAGCAAGAATCCTGCTGCTATCCTCAGGGAAGGGCCTTTCATTTCATATATCCCTATTTTCTCTCGTTCTGTCAAAATCTGAATTGATGAAAAGCAGCTGAGAGTCCTTGCCACCATGGCAGTTTTCATCACTCTGCAAGATTCAGCCCAATGTGAAGAAATTATTTTTTTGCTTCCAGCTTCAGGCAGTTTGAAGCTTGAGTATGAAAAAAAAATGTGGCAAGTCTAACACAGGGAAAGAAATGCACATTTGTAGGGCTTCATAGCTCCTAATTATTTTGTAATATTTATACAATGCCTAAGAAGCATTCACAGATCCCTGTCTGTAAATATAAAGGGGTGTGTAAATGAAATCTTCCCTTTGAAATAAGAAAAACACATTCAAATTGAAAAAAAAAAACGTTCCCATTTAGACAGCTGGCTGATGGAAAACGAAGAGTTCATTTTAAAGACTATATTTACAGAATCAGAAAATTCTGAGTAGGAAGGGACCCACAAAGATCACGGAGTCCCAACTCTTAAGTGAATGGCCCACACAGGGGATTGAATCCCTGACCTTGGTGTTATCACCACCAAGTTTTAACCAACTAAGCTAATCTCAGGGTCAATATTTGCTGGCCACTTTTCACTCAAGGGTACACAAGCAAACCCGCATCTGGGAAAGGCTGCCTTCTGGTAAAATCAGAGCTTAAGAACCCACAGATTTTTCATAGAATAATTTTCCTGTAAAAACAAACAAACAAACAAACAAAACCAAGCAGACAAAACCTGGCTTTCCCAATGGACGTCTCCAAAGCAGTACTGTATCTTCTGATTAACTGGTTTTGTGATCAATAGCTTTACAGCATAAAATGGTTAGTTTGCTAATCCAAGTCCTTTATGGAAGAGCACATTTTCGGCTAACATGCATCCAGGACATGTGTACACTTGCACATACAATTTTAATGCTCAGTGTTAATGTAAGAAAAAATATTTTCAGCCTAGGTAAACCTGTATGCACTACAGCAGAGCAAGCAGTGTGGTAATACTGCCATCAAGTGGATAGTCATCCCACACATTGTTGAATTGTAAATATTTTCCAGGAACTGAAGATAACTGTATTTCAGGGCTGTTCTAAAAGTTTTGGAGTTTTTTAACACTGTACTGAAAAATATCTGCATTCTCCAGCTGATAAATTATTCATATGCAAATTACTGGGACAGATCTAACTGTAAGCTCTCTCAGGATCTCTGGCAACCTTCAGTCACCATAATAAGATGGGAAAAATCTGTTTGTACTCTCCTCAGATATATGACCACGTTCTGTTTAAAATCTCAGATTATATCAGATACCTGAAAGTCCCAGTGGTAGCAAAAGGGATCTGGAGTCCTTTCAAAGTGATAGTGAGAATGGGGCTCTAATGAGCCTAGCCCTTGTGATGACACAAGAAAGATTTCTCAATACCTACAAGCTGATAGAAAATCATTAAAAATGCCTATGAGCTGCTGGTGAAAAGTAAATTCATTGTCCAAAATTTTAGCTCTAGTGAGTATGCTTTACTTCATATAATTTTTGGCTTCTTTGCAGCATTTTTTCTGGCATTCTGCAGCACACTTTATCAAAACTTCTGTCGTTACAGAATTCCATTTGCCAATTCCCACTGAGTGAAAAAAATGCAGCTCACTGAAACATGACGGTTCTCTTCTTAGTCTAAAAATGTTGCTTAAATCACTGTTCCAGTGTTTCAGAATAACTTCATGGACTTAATGAATTCTATGTTTTTTACAACATTTATTTCTCAGATAAGATAAACTGAAGATATTTTAAGTTTTAAAGGGAAATAATCTTATTTTTGCCTCCATTCACAATGACATTTTTTAAACATATTAGTAAAATATTAAGTATATTTTCTAGTGCTTTTTATTCCAGTGCCCTTATTTTGAAATAAAAAATTTAGAAGTGGAGCTGTGGACAATACTCCCCTCTAGGGGCAGGCACAGAATTTGCAATATTCCATTCAGCAGCATGTAATTTGTAAATTACATTAGCAAAATAAAACTAATAGGGCCTCCCAAGTGAAAGACAACCAGAATTATTAAGCCATTCCCAGCAGAGAACACTGCTGCTTACAAAATTTGTCTAAAGGACATGTTGTGTTTCTATATTCATGCAGAAGGGTTTTAATGCCACACATATATAGAAGCCCGTTTATCCGATTTCCCTAGCAACATACACCCCATCAACTTCTGACCTAGACAACATATCATCAAATGCAATATGTGCAGAGTACATTTTTCTTTATAAGCAAACACGTGTGTCATGAAAACGTATGCCCTGACAAGTGCTAAAGCTGGAAGTTTCCTCAGATGATCAGACTGGTATATTTGGAAGTGAAATAGGATGGAAGGTCAGCATCGGCTTGGCTGCTTCCCTCCTCTTCATTCAGGCAGCCAGATGCGAGGTTGCAAAAGCAATTCAGGCATCTCCGTCAATGACAGAGGGTCCAATCCTCCCTCCACATAATACTCCTACGTACAGTCTGGGAAGCTCGCAATTCCTCCTTGGAAACGAAGAGAATGCAGAGCTAACAGAGGGTTGTCTACACATCCACAGATCCTGAGAACTGAGTAAGCCTGATGGAAGCTAGAGGAAATGGGGCTGAAGCCCCAGTTTGGGCTCAGTACCTTCACAGCACACTACCACTGAGACAAGCAGGTCTCCCCTCAAAAAGCCCAGTGCTGCCTAGCTTCTCATGAAAAGCCATCCTAGGAAATCGCTGAGCTGTTACCTTCATCAGGACATGCCAATGCAGCTGGAGGGGCTGGCTGCTTGTCACAGTCACCTCTGTACAAGTTAGGAGGGGATCCTCAAGCCACCTCCTGGCACAGCATCGCTCACGCTGCTGAAACACCCATCATGAAAATCTGCAGCCTCCAAAGAAGCACAGCTCCATGCACGTTAGAAAAGCAGGCTCCTGACTCATGCTTAAGCAGACACTCTCTAAAGTTATTACTTGCAATAGCGGAAGGCAAGCTATTTTCAAAGTTTTGTGCTCCATTTCTTATCACATATGTCACAGTTAGTGGAAATTTTATTTCCGCACACATGCACATCCCCACACAATACTCTAGCAAAAAAAAAAAAAAAAAAAAAAAAAAGAGTTATGTTGTATGGTTTTTTAGGTTACAAAACACTGTTTCTTTCTGTAGTCTACAAAATCACCAACCCCCAAAAAGTCAGGGGAAAAAGGACTGAGTGGAACAGTGAGAAAGTCTGTCAGACCCGTATTTTTCTCCAGCTGCATATGTTGAGCTTTTCCTCAATATCATATATGTGGCATCTGACAATATTCTGCCATTTGCACCCAGCAGAATCCATCAGGTTAAAGTCACCCACAAGAACAAGGGCTGGCGATCTTGAAACCTCCACCAGCTGCTTGTATTCATCACCCTCTTCATCCTGTGGTTGGGTGGTCTATAACAGACTCCCACCAGGATGTTGGCCTTCCCCCTGATTCTGACCCATAAGCACTCAACCTTATTGTCACTGACCTCAAGGTCAAGAGAGTCTCTAACAAATAGAGCCACCCCTCCACCTCTCCTACCTTGCCTGTCTCTTCTGAAGAGCTCCAGGTGCCTGGGTACAAAAGCATAATCTCCTTGAGCCCCAACAAGTCTTAACCACAGGTCTTGTGAGTGAACTCGGGGCTTGCCCTCCCGATGTGCAGCATCGTATGGCCCCACAGCAGGACACAGCACTAGCAGGAGTTCAGCTCCCCACTTGGTTGGGACTGCCTACTGGAAACCCAGGCATCTCAGCACCCAACTTCAGGCTCCTGAGCGCTTTACTGGTTCTCAGACCTGCCACTCTGGGCTCTGAATAGCACTTTATTGCTCAGTAGGTTTTTCCTTTCATCTCTTTTTCAACTGTTATGCATACAACTATGCTCTTGGAGAAAACCGTGCTGAAGATAGACAGCAGTCTTAATTACTACTGGCTAATTACCTTTAATGAGCAAATTGCCATACACTAATGTGGGATTTGGCCTGAGAAGAATTTCACACAGTCCTCTAAAATCACCAATATTATATCTTCTATCTAAGTTACGCAATGATGAAGCTTGACAGTATCCTCTAATCAGATGAGAAGCATGACCCTGAAGATCTGAGACACCAATATAACATCTCAGATTTGTTTTCAGGATAATACTTGCCAAAGCAGCTTCACTGTGCTGCTGGTGTATTTCATTTCTCCCTATGATCATTTGCCTTTTAGTACTATTAGTGAATTGAAAAAAAAAAACAAAAAAAAAAACAAACCACCAAAAAAAAAAAACACACCAAAAAAAAACAACTAAAGCTCCAAGGGTTTGAGATGTACTGCCTCAGAACAAAGTCTCAGTTTCTGGTCTGCTACAGTCTGCACTACAGCTGCAAATACAAACAGTAAGAACAGATCTTCATAAGAAAGCTGAACTGAATCATCAAATCTGTTGAGAATATGCCTTCCATTTAATCAAAGGAAATATTTAAGCACTAGCAGTATTCAGAAGCTACAAATTAATTGGTACTCATAGGCAGTGATTGTGTTCTCCATTTTTCTTGATATTCACATAAATACATGTGAAAGATTGGTTTCCCAGTTCTAATAGGAGTGGAGAAAGTGATGCTCCCCACAAGTATTTCCAGGGTTAGTTGGGAATCAGCATCAGAGGAAATCAATCCTGGTTATTACCTCATGGTATACAGTAGAGTGCCGTCATCCTCCAGCCTCAGAAGTTTGTTTGGGGTTGTCATGTTGTGAGCAATAGACTTCTTGCCATTGTGGAAGAAAGTGTCTGGGGTCCAAATCTTGCTGGCAAGCAGGTTGTTAAGAGGGAGGCGTTGCATAGGTCCTTTGAATCGCAGCCTTTCATCTTTCCAGCTTTGTCGGAAAAAAACATCAATGGTGTATTCCTGGAAGAAAGAAACAGTCAAGGTATTGCAGGATCTGAATAGAAGCAATAGTTCCAAAAATGACTTGAGCAAAGTAAATACAAGAGAGTTGGCAGCCACATGATAACTTACCATTTCAGTGTCTGACACAGGACCAAAACTGGTAACATAGATGTCTGTTTTCACCTGAGTTATTCTCTCTGTAATAAATATGGACTTTGCATTAGTAATTATTTTAAGATGTAAATACATACTTGTGATGCATTTATCTATTAAAAATTTCCAAATCACTCAAAAATCCCCAAAAGCTGGAAATCAAGAGGATGCTTGAAGAGCCATTTCATCCTTGATCAAATGCAGAGAGTCCAGGCTCTGTTCTTCTAATTAGAAACAAACTAGACCTTCAAGAATGCTATTCCTCTGAAAGGCTTCTACAGATCATAGAAGCACAGAATCATTTGGATTGGAAGGGACTTTAAAGATCATCTTGTTTGAACTGCCCTGCCATGGGCAGGGACACTTTCGACTAGATCAAAGGCCCATCCAGCCCGGCACTGAATGCTTGAATGATGGAGCATCCACAACTTCTCAGTGTCAGTGCCTCACAACCCTCACAGTGAAGAATTTATTCCAAATACTGAATCTGTATCTACCCTCTTCCACTTTAAAACCATTACACATTTGTCCTATCACTACACTCTCTGATAAAGGGCCCCTCCACGTCTTTCCTCTAAGCCCCTTTAAGCACTTGAAGGCTTTTATAAGGTCTCCCCAGAGCATTCTCTTCTCCAGGCTAAACAACCCCAACTCTCTCAGCCTGTCTTCATGGAAAAGTTGCTCCAGCCCTCTGATCATCTTGGTAACCTTCTCTGGACTCACTCCAACAGGTCCACATCCTTCTTATGCTGAGGCCCCAGAGATGGACACAGTACTCACAAAAGCAAAGGAGCAGAATCACCTCCTTCATCCCGCTGGCCACCCTTCCTCTGACACATCCCACCATGCATTTGGTTTCCTGGGCTGTGAGCACACACTGCCAGCAGTTACTCAATTCCTACTATAGGATGAGATGAAGTATATCTTGGAAGGACCTATTCCCCTCTGCTGGCTTGGGTGATCTGCCTGATTTCAGACATCTATATTAGAGATGTCCAAAATTAGGTGAAACTATTTCTGCCCTGAAGTCTCTAAGTCCTTCTGGCATCTTTTCAAATCTGGTACTAATTAAATTTAAGGGCAGAAATTTCAGAAGTTCGTTATATAAGATAAGAGCATCGAGCCCTATTTTCAAGCATTTCTGTGTAAAGTGAGAGGAGAAGGAGAGAAAGGGATGAAAGCAATGTGTTGGTCTCACAAGAGGAAGGGGTGGGGGTAGCCAGATTAAAAAAGGGCCAGGAAGAAACATAACAGATGGTTTACACATGGGTAGAAGATGAGAGAAATCTGGGGGATAGAGAGCTGAAAGAGGGCTCAACAAGGTTAGGATGGTAACCTATTCACATGCTATTCACTATTCACATGCTGCGGTTTTAAAATAGCTGCTGTAGAGGTTATCAAAATGACATATCAATACAGATTTTCTGTAGTTGTCTAAAAATGAATGGTTTGAGGATCTGTTTTTAAAAGAGATATGTGTCACCAGCAGAATTTTATATAGGCTGACCAGTAAGGGAACCTCGCAGCAACCTGCTAGCATATTGTCTTGCTCATCTTAGGAAGTACCCGAAAGAAAAACCCAAACTGTATCCAATTACAGAAAAAGTGCATCACAGATGCTCTCCTAAATCAACCTCAGATGACCTCAGTGACTGAAAGAAGACAACTTTCAGTGATTTTTTTTTTATTGTGGCCTATTTCCTAGGAGACAAATCCACTTCCTGGACTTGGTTTAGTTAATCAAACACAAGTCCCTCATCAAGGCCAAGAGCAGGTACTCATCTGGAAGGGCATCATGTAGAGGATGGTCCTGTATAGCAGAGGACTGGCCACAGCCAATGCGTTTTCTTACCTCCCAGTCCTGGGCGCAGTCGGTTGTCGTAGCCGTCCAGCAGACCATCCAATATCCTGGTGAATATTGTGATGTTATCATTGGTGTCCTCTTTTCCTGACGGTGTTGGCGTTTGTGAGAAGCTATTTCGTGCAAATGAAAGAAAACATGTCAAAAGCCTTGCTGGTTTCAAGGGGCTTCGGTCTCGAGGGAACTTTGCAATGGAGCCACTGAGCCTCTGTCCTCTCCTGATGCTCCACTTGAGTAACACAGGGAGCTGTGGTGATTTCATTTTGTCATTGCTATAAGCAATCCTAAATAGCTCTCCCTGGAGGAGGATCCGAAGAATGATCCGTGCCATGGAGGTACAATCCTGGGGAGCTGGATCAGGGAACACCTGAGCCCTTTGACCCTCTGTCCATAATGCACGGGTAGATTCCTGTCCCCCATGCTGCCCTGGCGCACATTAGCTCCACCATTTCCCATTTGTGGGAAATTCCCATGGCATTTCTCCATCCCCTGGAGGGAGTAAGGTCAGCCATGGGACCAGCAAAAGCTGTTACTGGTTTTTGCCAGGTTAGCTCTCCATTCTTTAGGAACTACATCAGCTGGCAGGGGAGCTGCATGAGCAGCATGGGTTTGCCTGAGGATGCACCTTCAAGTCTGCCTGAAGGTAGTGTCTAGTCTTTAAATGACAAATAGCTTCTAATTTTCAAAATATATGTAATTTATTGCCAGAACAAAGGATGAACTCTCACCTTATTTGAGGATAACAAACTCCCACTACATTCAAAAATCCCACTGGGGTACCACTGGGGTATCTGAAAAACATACTGCTGTACAGAAAACACAGTTCTTCACTCCTCCTCTTTCTTTTGCATAAATTAGTTCTCCCTTGTAGTATGCAAATAAAAGCACTGTGTAGTGGGCCACGTTCCATATCTTTTGGGCCAGATTTGTTTTTAATCTGAACTCTTTTTTATTTCATCATTTTATCCATGGCTCAGACCTAGGAAGCTACTCACAGCTCACAGCACAGCACAACTAAAACTTGCATTTTTATATCTGTCTGATTTTCATTTAAAGATGCTTAGGAGAATCCCCTGCCTACTAATGCCTTTGCATACCTAATGAATAGACATGGGAGTTATCCATAAGCATGCTTCACCTGCAGAAGCAATGAATATTTCTTAAGACAACAAGTTTGCTCACTCTTGGTTCTTTTTCAAGATTCAGCCTCTGCTGAAATCGCCAACAAATGCTCCAGCTGTGAAAGGGCACATAGCCCCACCAGGAACCATATACTCTGCCTCATGCCCACTGCCAGCAGATAGGAATTGTTTATGCTCCAGCAACCTGAACTCGATGCCAGACAGTCATCAGGAGATAATTAATTAATAAATAAATAAATAAATAAACAAACCCCATGTTTATTTATTACCAGTCCCCAGGGAAATAAATCAGTAAATAAATAGAGAAGATCAGAGCACCTCTCTGAACAGCTTGCCTTGCAGAATGGTTGCAACACGTGTTTGACTTACGTAGTAGAACAGGATTCATACAAAGAAAGAAGGGACCTCAAGTTGGTTTTACCTGCACAAGGCTTCCACTAATGGGACCTCACTGACATCCATGTAATAGATCTGGAAGTTTTAGTGACGCCAGACCTGGCTCAGAACAAGCTGCTCTTGGCCACATATCCTCTCACAGACATGGGGACCCCCAGTCCTGCACCTGTCTCCTTTACAGTTTGTGTGCTTCTGTGGAAAAAGGGAAAGGATTGCAAAGCCTCTCAGAACAGGGGAGTAAGGCAGGGCAGTGGGGGTCCCTGAAACACCAAAGTCCATGCAAATGCCTGGTTGAGGATGTTCCTTGCAGTCTGAGTGCAATTGGCATTGCTCTGACGCTCAGAAGGATCCACACTGCAGAGCCCAAGGCCATTAAGGATCTCCCCTTCAGTGCAGGTAGAGGCATAGCCACAGATCTTGACCATTTTTCAGGCCATTCATCTCTTCATGGTCAAAAGACCAAATTAATTCCGTTTTCTATGCTGTGACGACAACCTCCAGTGAGCAACTGAGGCAGACAAGATAATGGACGTCTGACTTTAATGAAAAACAGTTAATCCAGCACAGCAAACTGATTACATAAACATTAGCCGTCCTTGCATGCTGAACCATTCAAAACAAAAGACTGTACACCTTTTTGTCAATTGTAATCAAAGGGATTCACCACATAAAAGTGAATATTTACAGGCAGCAGCCTAACAAATGCAAGGGAATTCAAAGAGGAGACAGAAGTTACAGATATTCTTTACATGCAGCGACCATAACTAACACTTTGATAAAATCCTAGTGCCAACCACAGAAATCCAATACACCTAGAATACTATTTTCAACTTTTCTCATCTATTTTATCTTTTTTTTTTTCATAAGAAAGAGATATGCATCATGCTGTCTGCCTGCTACACCGTATCAGCGTAGGAACCCATTTTCATTTTCTACTGCATCTGACAAAGGAGCAGAGAGATCAAACTTCATTTCATTCCTACAAGTTTCATGAGAAGCTGTGACTAGACAAGGGGAGAGCAATCTAAATTAGTGCCTCATTAAGTAAAAATGTAAGGTTAGCAGTCATCTATTCCCTCTGGTTCGCTGACTGGGCCACTCAGCATACATGTAGCTCAGAAACAGCCTCAGCAAGACCAACCCCCCTCCTCTCTGGTAATTAAGAGGTATGGAGGAGGCTTTCCAGTGTGATTAGGAAAGATCCTGGGAGAAAAGGACAGCAGAGGTAAAATGTAGGTGTTGCAATGGGAGATGAGAACAAGGGATGCCAAATGTGGAGATGGGATTATTGCAAAGATATGGTGCTGGGGGCACAGGACACAAAGGTTCACTAGTTTCTCTGCTCTTGAAAAAGCTTGTTATTTTTAGTGCTTGTGGCTGAATTCAAAGCCAACTGAACTCAGAGGGAAGATTTCCACTGAACTATTTTTGTGGGGATGGGACAAAATACACTTAGTTCTCATAACTGCTCCTCTGAATCTAACAAGAGTAATTGATGCTGCTTCCTTCTATCTCACCTATGTACATCTCTTACAAGAATAGTACACACACCCCATAAACTGAAATACTTCTATATCTCCACAAGAAAAGCTAATTAATAAGGGGAAAAGATGGGGAATCAACTACAGTGAAGACTTACAAAAAGTCTGCACTTCTGCAAAACTGCAATCCCGATTTTGATTTGGCAGATCGTTTCACCCATAAAGAAAGGAATCTGATGCTGAATTTCACTGATATGTCAGTATGATGGGAAGCTGCATTTGTAGATAGCTTGCTGTTTGCTCTTTTGTAAATGTTCCTTTTTCTTTCACAGAAAGTTAGCATTTAATTTCTATTATTGAGATTGCTGGTGAAATGCATGTTTTGGAGTAAGGTCTGAGGTTGTCTGTTATGACACAAGACATTTACAGAACTTGCGAAGTTACATACATACATTAGATTCTATATAGCTCTACGAACAGAGAGAAAACAGGTGCTACCCTAAACTAATTATTTCCACACAGCTAAAGATTTAGTTTTATCAACATATTACTAGGTAAGCACATTATTGCCTCTCTGCAGTGAAAAATGTTTTTATAGCAGAAATTTTCAGTATGGATAAAAATAAACCTAGAAAAAAACCTTAGGAAAATGCTAAGAAAACTCAGAGATAATTGCATTTAAAGCTCATTATTGAACATAAACTAAATCAACCAGGAATACTTCTCATCACATTTATTTAATATTGCAATTTCAGGGTTACTGAAAAAATCAGAAGCCACAGAAGGGGCCCACGAGTGTAAAATGTAATAACTCTCTAAATATGCTCAGCTACCTCTTCCGATGAGTTCATCATCTACCATTTTAAACATCGCTGTCTTTTTTGCCATCCAGTCAAAATCATAACAGGTACTATTCATAGCTTAGTTGTACTAAGAGGAAAATGCATGGTAGATATTTAATGATTTTTCCCAAAACTTCTTTTTAAAAAAGGGTAAGAGACACTGAAAAAATAACTGAAAAGACTATTTTGCTACTAAAAGATGTATTTTTTTTTCTCTCTCTCTCCAAGAGTAGCATTTCCAACAACTTGCCTTCATAGGATTGCAATTTCAACTGAATTTCAGACAAATTAACAGTTTGTGGGAAAGACAGTGGAAAACGCACTTGCAGACTTTTGGATACGGACACTGGCCAGACATCAAAGGAAATAGATTTACTTTTCTAAGTTAGTTTCCCTGCTACCCCTTTCTTACGGGTTCTTGAGATGTAAAAATGCTGATGTTTTGTGAATTTGTGCAACGAAGATTCAATTCTTTCACATGGGATCATGGGATTAAAACAGAGGAGCGGAATGACTAAAATTATAAGGCTTTAATACTATTTTCATATTTTTACAGAATAATTTAATTCTTCTATTTAGAAAGAACAGTATTTTACTACCTTCTGGGAAGGAGCAATTTGTGAGCAGTGCAATGAAAGCCTGGTTTTTTTATAGAGTGACATCTTACAGTCCTCACCCCCTTGCCCCTTTCAGTGTCCTGAATTTCTTCCAGGGTCATTAACACCTCCCAATACTCTCAGCTCCCCAGGTCACTGATCTGCAACTTCACTGGGAGGCACTGCATGCCAGGGCTTCTCCTACACTAAATATGTGCTGGCTGGCCAGCACGTACACGCCTGCTATTTGGCCAGCTGGCTGACCAGAGATGCTGAAGCCGTAGCCTTCTGTTCGGCAGTGGGATGGACTGATGTCTGCCTCCTCCAAGAAATTCTAGACACCCACTTAGTTTTCCCGTTACTAAAATTGTTTAAAGGGTTCAAAAAGCTATCTGGATATATGGAGAGGGAAAGTAAAACAGAATAAAGAAATAAACAAACAAGCATGACTGTGTAAGATATGACAATTCTTATAAAATCAGTCTTTGAAAATATGAGGAAGAACTTCCAAGCATCACAAGTACTTGGAAAGGGATATATCCCTGCAGAACTAACTCCTTAGGGCTGCAGAGACTAACTTGAAATAACAGCCTAAAAGAGAGGTATGTTCTGCCTAAATAGTAGGATTATGGTCTTAGTGATAAGGGCTATGAGCTAGAGAAAAAGTATGTGAAACTACAGACACACCACAGACTGAATTCGTAAGAGTGTACAGAGAAATAATGGGTTGCCTACATATAATTGGGATCTTCTGTTCTCTGTGTTTCTACTATTATAAATATTATTAGCAGATGGCAACTAAGCTGTGGGTACATGAACAACGTCCGTCCCTGTTGGTTTTGGCTTTCAGACAGATTTCTGAAATTGCATGTCCAAAACAGGACTGTGCATCACCAATGTGTCCCCAGAGATGTGCCCATGGACGGTCGTGGACTTGTGCAATAAGAGCCAGGGCACAGTAAGATTGGCCAGTGTGGAGCTGAACACAAGCTGCCTCGTCTCACACAGATCTGTGTGCAAGCTATGGCTCCAACCCTCACAGGGCTGCCACTACCTGGGCTCCCCGAGGGCCCACAAGGAATCCGTCTCTTGTTTTACCTGAAAATGCTCTTGATGGTTATATTTGTCTTTTAGTCATTCTCCAGGATTCAAGACAATTATGAACTATCTTGAAATGCTTAAGTAAAATAACTTGCTAGAACGTTATACAACTCAAGGCTGAATTCAAGCAAGCTTGAAAAAGCCTTGACTCATGCTGGACCGTTTCTGCAGATGTAAACTCATAAAACTGTTATACCAACAACAGAGCGAGAGGCGGGGAAGACTTCACATCCTCTTCTCAGTTCATCTACATCTTTGAATTTTAATTCACCGATTTTTCTTTAAATAACTTCTACCAACTATGTCTACAGTCCTTCTCTACTGCATATTAGTGTGGTTAATTCTCGATAGTCATTACACATTTATGTTAAACATTGATCACAGACTTTTGTTGAGATTTCTCAAGTAGCCTAGGAGATTGAGATATGTAATTTCTGTTTATTTTACCAGGCATTGTGCATCAAAATCCCCCAAGGTGGCTTTGACTATGTCAGCAAAAACTGTATTTATGATTTAATATAAATATGGAATGACTATGGAGAACTGTAGAAAAATCTCTGTTTCATCTGTAATGCCCTCCTGTATTTTGGTTTTTTTCGACCAATCACTTTTATCAAGCATATTGCAAAACACACTGCAATATAACAGCGCAGTCCAAACATGGATGAAGCTAATAAAGAACCTGCTATCAACAGCAAGTGTTATCAGTATTAGATTCCTGCAGTTAATACAGCAGCCTACATGTTAATTGTACCATTCTGTCCTGAAGAGTCAGTCCCAAAGCACTTAGCAAATTACACTCTGAAACTGCTTCTGCCTCTGAAACACAAGCGCTGGAGCATCCTTTGTCTTTTGAGCAGGGTCAAAATTCAGCCCTAAGGCACTATGTGAATGGTGCAGTGAATTGGAGCTGCTTATCTCTACAGGCCTGGACTAAAATTACTAGACTAGAAATGGGGGGCAAGGAGGGTGGGGGGAACTTATGTGATGATCTCATTTTAGTGCACGGAAGCTTTTTGACTAACTTGCAGAAAACAAGTGTCCTAGTTTCCTCTAACTGTCCTGTTCTGATTATCTGCCAGGTTACAGGTCACACTGATTCCTACCTGGGACTTTGATTCAGTATTTGGTTTGGAGTCGAAAGGGACAGTTAAACCCTCTGGCTTTTGGGTTGTTTTTTAGGTTTGGATTTGATTTTTTTTTTTTTTTTTTTAACATCCTTGCCTTTCTATTGTTCTATTAGAGGAGAAATAGTTAAAAGACTGCCCCATACCAAGCAGGTCATGCTCAACTATTGCAATGTGCTGCCTTATGCAGGGACGATGAACAGTCAAGGAAGACTTAAGGTTATAGTCACCAAGATTTCCTCGTTTTGGAAATACTATGTCAAATTACAACAACATAAAGGCAAGTTTAAAACCACTCCCACACTATCTATGCCCTCTTCATTTCTGTCATAAAGTCCTGGGAGAGTTTTCCCTTAGACCACAATGAAAGCAGGACCAAGTTTTTTCAAGCTGGATAAATGAGTGTACCACTTTTTGCATCCTTTGTAGAGTGCAGTCCTACAATTGTTCCTATAAACCACTGTGGTCACAGGCTTCCACCTACGTACACAGGACACATGCTGGAGACCAGGCTACATTTTGCTTACAGCGTGGACAGTCATCACTCAAAGTTTGGTCTTTCTCCTAGTTCCAATCTGGAACAAGTCACTTTGCTTGAAATCAGAAACTGATTTGCATCTCCATTTTGTGTCTTCTTATAGCAAGGAATTGATGGGTGTGCTTGTGAATCAGAATGTTGGGAGGATTCATTTTTTTTCTGGTGAAATCATAAATAATTGTTCTCCTTCACAAAGAAGAATCAACCTACGTTTCCTGAGCACTTGCAAAATGCTTTTCCCAGATTCCAATACGTAGCTCAATTTTGGAAAGTTCTCTGGTATAGGAAAAACATATAAATAAAGGGTTTCTGACATTATTTTTCATTTTCTAAGAGCTATAGGTTGCAGTATTTTTTTGATAGAGCTTTCAGAATATCACTGTCAGGAAAGCATCCAAAGCAAAAATAAGAAAACAGGATTCCCTGCTATATGCTTCAGGGAAACACGATTTCTAATTATTCTAACAAGTTTCAAACTCAGACATCCTTCTGAACTGTCTTAGCTTAATCACCAGGAAAGCCTGTACTAGCTAGTAGCATGCACTGAGTCCCACTGTTGCAGTTTTGCACTACTGCCTATAACCTGCAAGAAGGAAGGTGCAAGACCCTTGCATCACAGACAAAGGAGCAGGGACCACCACAGCCCCTGGCTGTATTAAACCCAGGTCAGAGCACTCAGAAACTGTAGGCCTGGCCTGTGCCCTTTGTGCCCTCCAAGCCTTCCCGCAACAGCATAAAGAACTGACACCAGAGGGTAAATCTGAACAGGAGAGTAAATCACTCCCTTCCCCCTGACACCAGCACATTAAGATAAAATGCAAAGCTTGATTGTTTTGTTCAGCTGCTCCACACTACACGGAGACAAGGTTTTTCATTTCCTTAAAAAAATCCACAGCAAAAATTCAAACACAACTGGCAACTCACCCAAAGTGGCTGGCTAAACTCATGGAAACGCAGAAGAGGAAGAAGTTTTTGATCATGATAAAGTCAGAGACCATCCCATTGTCCATTCCAGAGGAGAAAAGGAACGCAGGTGGTTGCTTTGGTGAAGGTGCAGCTGTTCACTCTGTTCTTACGCTGCAACAATACAAAAAAAATTGAAAATTACTGCACGGACAAACAGCGGGATAGCTGAGTTCAGCTAACATTGCATCTTCTCATATCTGCGTTTTTCACAAACTTATCTAGGCTTATGTAAACATCAGCTGTTTATGTAAAGTTGTATGTCTTCAAGGACATGTTTTACCTTCTGCTGACAGCAAACTGCAAAACAGGAGAAATTCTTTGTGGCCCAGTTTTCCCTTATATTCATCTGTTGTGTAAGTAACTAAAGAAATAGCCACCATTTTCCAAATGCCAATTTCAACCCTTTACCTATTTCAACAACTTCCACATGCCTGCAAACCCAGGGCTGTGTGCAGCCTCCGCATCCTTTCCTTCCATCGCAATTTTTTCCCATTAAATACCCGGCTTCCCTTTCCAAAATCCCAGTTGAAATGCCAAGAAACACCTACTGCTTCTTGGAATTCATGCTGCTGATGCACGGCTTAGCAAAAGGAGGGTGGGTTGTTGGGGGGGTGGGGGAGAGGGTAAAAAGTGACCTTCCTCTCAAAGGCACATAAACCTCACGCTAGCACGAAGAATGACAGTAATGTAGCTGCTCCAGTGAATGCCGCTTTTTGGATACCTGCCTCAGCGACCAGATCACCAATTTCAGCATTGTGCACTAACGTTTTCCTCTGTGCCCTATTAAAAACAAAACAAAACAAACAAAAAACCCACCAAACCACAACAACCGCCTTCCCCAAATAAACACCAAAACAAACAAACAAAAACTCAAAACCCAACCAAAAAACCCAAACAGAGCCCAAAACTACACCCAGGGGGGAACTGGCTGGATTTTCCACCTGAACCCTGTGCCCCCGCGCTACATCGCTCAGCAACTTACTCTCCCACCCCGCGGGCAAGGCAAGACATCCGAACCAAAAGCCATCCCCCGGGACTCCCCCGCCCGGACCGCGCTGCCCCGCAGCGGGTCCCGCTCGCTCTGCGCTGCTCCCTACCGGGCACTGCGGGGCCGCCGCTCCCTTCCGAGCGCCCGCAGCCCCGGCCAGCCTGCACCTGTGCGGGGACCGCCGCTCCCTCGCCGCCGCCGTCTCCCGGGCACTGCGCCCCGGGGCTCCGCGGAGAGGGACACCCGCCCGTCCGTGCCCGCCCCGCCGCCCCTTTCCCTCTTCCCTCCCCAGCGCCCGCGGCGCCCCCGGGCTCGCCCCCTTCCCGCCCGCCGGCCGAAGTTTCCCGCGGCCATGTGCACGGCGGGGTCAGCCCGGGGGTCCGCGGCCAGCGCTCCCCGCCGCCCTCCATCCATCCATCCATCCGTCCGTCCGTCCGCCCGCCCGCCTAGCCGGGCACGGGAGCCCGGCGCTTACCAGCCGCCGGCGGGGGGACGAGGGCGAGGGGGCGGTGTTTGCCTGAAAGTTGCGGAGCGGCAGCGGGAGCGGAGCGGGAGCGGCGGCGCTGCCTCCCGGCCGCTGGCAGGCGCGGCCCCTCCGCAGCGCCGCGCCCGCACCGCCCCCGCGCCGAGACCGCGGCCGGGAGCGCGGGGAGGTGTGCGGGGCGCGCCCGACCCTCGGGAACCCGGCAGGGGACCTCTGGGGAAGGGGCCGCTCCTGGAGCCGTCGCAGCCCCGGGAGGCTTCAGCGGCTCCCTGGGCTCCCCGCGCCCGTCTCCCGGGAGCAGGTCCCACCGAGCGTCCCACGGGGCTGGGTGCCGGGCGAGTCCGTCCGGCACCGGCTGTTCTCGGGCAGCGGGAGCCCCTGCCACAGCCCGGCCGTGCGGGTGTCCTGTAGCCGTGGGGCTGGGACACCCACCACGCAGGAGGCTTGCTGGTATATATGCTCCTTACACCACACATGTATAAGCGTACATATATATACACAAACCCGTACATACCCAGATCTGAATCTATACTCCTCTTCTGTAGCCAGTGGACCTGACCTAAATCATCATAGTCCTAAATGCTGAAGTGGGGTTTCATATCCACAGCATGAACTCTCTTTGTGCATACTCAGTATTAGACATCCATGTTTTGTATCGGCATTAAAAATTCCAGGAGACTTGCAGTAACTTCGAGGTCTCCTTGTGATTGTATGTGCTGCTATTCCAGAAAGATGGACGCACTGCTTCGCAGCCTCAGTCATGGGAGTGTTATACTTGCTGTGTGTTCATCACGTATATAATGTACTGCTTGCAGATGCATTTTGAACTTAGTGCAAGATGAAATGAGTGTTGTATGATGAAATGACTCCCAGTTCCCGGGGATTCCTTGGGATGCATGCAACATTTTGCAGCATGCATATGTTACACGTGATAATATATGATTTCAATATTTACTGCTGTGATCATACTTTATAACATAACACTCCAAACTTGGCCATTAAATTACCAGATCTAACGAGGTAATGCCCGTCTTTATGGAAGCATTATGGATCAATGAAGCATTTGTCTTTTCCCTATATCCATAAAAAAAAAGCCCTATGAATTTAATCCCTTCACAGAAATCAATATTGATTCTGTAGCTCATTGCCACAGAGGGTGCTGCTGTATGTGTGTCTAGTCCATGGTACGCACCGTCTGAGTTGAAAACAGGTCCTTAGGAATTTCAGTTTACATTTTTTTCCCACCTAACAAAACTAGAAAGGTAGCATCAGGGATAATTTCTGTGTAAACAATGAATAATTTTCCTAGTATCAATCGAGTAGCATTTTCTCAGGCAGTTCTTTGTAATTCCACTCTTCAATATTCCCTTGAGACTTATCAGGGGTTGAACTACATCATCTTTAAAGGTCCCATCCAACCCAAACCAGTCCATGGTTCAATGGCTCTGTATTGGGTGCTTAGCTGTATTCGATTTTACAGAAATGGTTTACAATCTTAAATGAAGAGCCAATGACATACGCTGTTCCTCGTTATGCCTTGGAGACTTCAATAAATATGAAGTTGTGAATGAATGTTGCTATCAGAACAGCTTTCCGGGTGCTTAAAAATATCTGAGTAAAGTAGTATGAAGCGCCAGTAGTTTCTCATGATAATGTTCTTGCCTAGGAGCATTTAAATCGCATTTTTTACAGTGCTTTGATTTCTGGTACGAACTATTTATATCTCCATATAGGTGATGCTGTAAAAATATGTGAGCTTTAAATAATTTTACAAAAGCGAGACATAGGAATACAAGCCTAGACTTTTGTGCAAACGGGTGAGAGCTCTGGCCTCTTGCTCCAGCTCCCCAGTGAGCAGAACTGTGCCTCGGCTCCTCTGACTAGTTACATCTTCTCCACGAAGCCATATGTTGCAGATCTGCTTCTCAACAGCAAAGGCAGGAAAGCGCTTAGGAATCGGGGGAGCAGAATAGCAAGAAAACGTTAAAGCAAAGCTTAAAGAAGAAGAAAAGATAAACAAGAATGATAGAACCACAGAACAGTTGGGGTTGGAAAGGGATCTTAGAGATCATCTAGTTCCACCCCCCTGCCATGGGCAACAACACCACGAAAACGCCTAACTCGGCGAAGGAGCGAGTTGAGGAGTGCGGGTGTCACGCAATCCGGTGCCGCCCACGCCGCACCGAGCCCACCCGCTCCTGCCGCCGTGTCGCTGTCACCGCGGTGGGCGACCTCGGCCAAGGGCTGCTGTTCGCGCCGCCGCCACCGGAGGGCAGCACAGCTCCACACAAGCGGCCGGGGACAGCGCGGGGGGCTCGGGGAGCCGGGCGGCGCCTGCGGTGTCACGGACCGGGATGCTCAAACACTGATCGCGTAGGTTTTCGGGCTGCATCCCGGCAGGACGGTGGCTTTGGCCTGTGATAGCAGTTATTACCTGCAATAGAGAGATTGCTACTTTGAAGACAATAGCATTGTACGTGTCCTCCGCTTCTTCAGGCACTCCTGATTCACACTTGCCCTGTTTGCAATCCTTAGCCTCCTTGTCACGTTTGAAAGGATATGTTGAATTTATATGTAAACCAATTCCTTTGTATTGGGGTCAGGGAAATATTTTGGCTGGTTGGTTGGTCGCTCTCTGTGCTGGTGTTTAGCAACAGCCGGCATGGCCATTCCATACTGTGATTTTCCTTCAGATGTGGTAGAAATTTTGTGTGGTCCCTCTATGACATTTCTCGTCCCTACTCCACTAAGTAGTGTTTCTTATTTGTAGGAATGGATGCATTTGAGCTAGATCATTCTCTACATGGGACTGAAACAACAGTGCAGGAAAATTGGGCTGTGATTTTTACTGTGGTACACATTTGGGAGCTCACTGGGAAATGCACACCAACCCCTAACACTGACACTCAGTGTTAGAAAATGGCTTGTTCTGCCAGCAGCCAAAGGCATCTCTGTAACTGAGATCAAGTCATTCCTTCTTCCAGGAGAGCTACAGAAAACTCACAAAGTTGCATGAAGGTGTCAGAATTGAGCCAAGTAGGCTCTTGGAGATATTCTCTTCTACCAAAACAATTCACTTCTGACATCTAGGTGAAGAGGACTGCCTGTTTTCTTGAAATCTTCTGCCTCTGTCCTCCTAGCTAAGACTCTGGAAAAGGCAGCACTTGGAATAGTGACTTTGCTGATAAAAATCCTTTTCCAATAGAGAGCAGTCTGAATTCATCAGTCAGTGAAGGAATCCCTAATCATCAGCTAATACTGACTCAGCCACTCTCAACACAGAGACTGGATCTGAACAAAAAGTGAAAGTCTTGTTTTCACTCCTTTCTTTAATAGTATCTGTAAAGACCAAAGTCAGGAGGCTTTTACTCACTCACGGTGAGTGCTGGGTCCAGCTTTGGGCTCCCCAGTATGAGAGAGACATGGACATAGTGGAAACAGTCAAGCAAAGGACTAAGAAGATTATTAAAGGACTGGAACACCTCTTCTATGAGGAAAGGTAGAGAGAGCTGGGACTGTTTATCCAGGAAAAGAAGAGCCTCAAGGGGAAACTTATCCATGTGTATTAATACCTGAGGGCAGAGGGGCTGAAGAAGAGGGAGACGGACTTTGCTTAGAGATACCCACTAACAGTATGCAAGTCCTATGAAGAATGGCTGAGGAAGCTGAGGTTGTTTAGCCTGGAGAAAAGGAGGCTCAGGGGAGACCTTATCACTCTCTACAATTACCTGCATCCAAGTAGGGGTTGGTCTCTTCTCCCAGGCAACAAGTTTCAGGACAAGAGGGTCAGGTTGGACATTAGAAATAATTTCTACACAGAAAGGGTTGTTAAGCATTGGAACAGGTTGCCCAGGGAAGTGGTGGAGTCAACATCCCTGGAGGTGTTCAAGAAATGATAGGATGTGGCACTTGGTGCCATGGTCTAGTTAAAAAGGTTGTGATCGGTCAAAGGTTGGACTTGATATCTTGGAGATCTTTTACAACCTAAGTGATTCTGTGATTCTGCGACAGGACAAGGTACAGTAGGCACAAATTAAAAACCATGACATTCCATCTGAACACAAGAAAACACATTTTTGCTTTGAGGATGGTCAAACGTAGGAATAGGCTGCCCAAAGATGTTGTGAAGTCTCTGTCTGCGGAGACAAAACCTGAAGGTAAATGATCCTGGGAAACCCACTGTAACTGACCCTGCTTGAGAAGGAAGTGGGCCTGGCTAATCTCCAGAGGTGCCCTCTAGCCTCAACCATCCTGTGATCCTGGAAGCTATGAAAACTATGCCAACCTCTGAAAGTCTCTGTTACTTTCTCCAAACTATTTCTCAACTGTATCTGTCAGTGAAATGATGCAAACAACCTTGCTGATGTGAGAGGTAATAAAGTCTGATAGACTTTGAAGCATTTGGTGTATTTCTGAATGATAAAGAGGGATATTGATAGCCTTTTTCCCCTCATGTATGCCCACTCTGTAATGCCATGGACACCCTAAAACACAACCAGTGTGCTGCATTTCACTTTTCTGATGGGTCACACTGCAGACAGAGCTGCATTTTGGACCTGGTGTTTTGATGGTTTGTTC